CTCATATCGGAAGCATGCAGGCCAAGTTCAAGCAATGTGGCCTGGGCCCTTTCTCTCCTGAAGCTCTTGGCCATGACCATGCGGTTCTGGTTTGAGGCATTTAGGAGCTTTAGGGTCTCTTAGGGTTTAGGGTTTAGGGTCTTAGGGTTTGGGGTTTAGGGTTTAGGGTGTACAGTTCCATGAGCCTTCCTACCACAGCTTAGGGTTTAGGGTTTAGGGTTTGGGTCTTGGGGTCTTAGGGTTTTGGGGTCATCTGCTATATGCGCCTGTAAGCCGTTATAATGGGGACGTGCCGGAATACTAGGTATACGGGAAAGCTTTGCCAATGGCTCCGAGTCCTAAACCCTAAACCCTAAACCCTTCCTAACATCGAACCTGCAGATGTTGAAGTTCGAAATGGCTTTTGACGGCGCCTTTGCTTGCTGCTTTAGGGCTTTAGGGCTGCATTTACACGAGCTATAGAAGTGGAGGTCGAGGTAGTTGCGGGGCAAAACTTATTGCTTTATAAACAAAAAACCGCCCTGTTCAAAATAAAGGTTAAGCACTTCGAGTTTGGGAGATTACAGGCTTTGTGTTTCGACTCAGGGCTTGGGCTTTAGGGTCTTGCGGCTTAGGGTTTAGAGTTTCGGGGTTGGGTTTAGAATTTTTTGGCTTCCCTTGTTGTAGGGGGATGCCGGGGGATGCTGCACTGCAGCAGTGAACGCAACACCTGGCCCGACGGTGGAGGGCATCGCAAAAGAGAAAACCAACCCCATGCCGTCCATGGCGACCAACCCTAAACCCTAAACCCTAAACCCTAAACCCTAAACCCTAAACCCTAAACCCAAACTAAGTCCTTTTGAAAGGAGGAAGCTGCGAGAACCTGCTTGGTGCAAGCTCTTACGACTAGGCCCGCATCTCTAAGCACTTAAGCGTAACGATGCTTAATGGTTTCCTACCGGCACTGTTGACGTGAAAAGCGGCAGGAGGTGAGTCCGCCTAGGTGGGCAGCCTGGGCAAGGGTGCCAGAGGGTTGAGGGTTCCCTTTCTTGGGTTGAGGGTTTAGGGTTCAAGATTTCCTTTTTGCAATCATGGGCCGGCCCAGGCGACTGCACGATGACAGGGGCAAAACGGCCCCTGAAACCGCGCAAAGGCTTGAACTTCGCCAGAAGAACGAACAAAATCATTGTAATTCGGCATCGGAGCCTGGCCTTGTGTTACTTACTTGCCCAGTTCCCTAGCGGAACTGAAAACGAATCTTGGGATGATATAGGGATCAGAATACCTACCGCCTTTTAAAGTTTACACCCTCAACCCAAAACCCTAAATCCTGAACTTGGAAACCTGAATCCTAAACCCTGAAGCCTTACTCTGCTGCTCAAGTTACTGGCCTATCTGAACCGATCCGAAAAAATAGGGCTCAGGGGCTCTAGAGTAGTAGTAGTAGTAGTAGCAGCAAGTAGCAAGAGTTGTAAGTCGTCGTAGTCGTGGTAGTGGTAGCAGTAGCAGCAATAGTAAGCCCCAGAAAGGGGATCTAACATCACTGAATGCCCATCCGGACTCACCTGGCACGTCCTTTCCCAGATTCAAGTTGCCTGGTCCCACATGTTCCACAAAACTCTCAAGTCATCTTTTCAGGCTTAGCAAGAGGGTTTGGGGCGGATGAAGCAGGTGTAGGGTCTCTAGTGCCAGGGACAACCTTAAACCCTAGACCCAAAAGCCTAAACCCTAAACCCAACCTCCTAAAGCGATGTTGAGGGGACGGTTACACATCAAACGATGTATCGAGACCTTGTTGCGACCTCCGCCAGTCCACTAGAGAAGGTCGGACAAAAAAACGCAAACTCAACCCAAATCCCTCACCGACTGATTCTTAGTAGGGAATGGGGGAATGGGTTGTTGGGGCTGCTATAGGCGACCTTCCGGAACTATCATTCCCCCATTTCCTGCTAAGAACCAGGGAGCTAAAGCCCTTATCCCCAAAAACCCTTTGTACCCTAGACCCCAAACCCTAAACCCTAAACCCCAAACCCTACACCCTAAGCTGTGGTAGGAAGGCTGATGGAACTGCACACCCTAAACCCTAAACCCGCCGGGCTCGCTCTGTCTTCGTTGCACCCTCCGCTGGCCCCTCAGACGGGCAGCGACGTAGCTCCGTTCAGCAACTCCTTTGAGGATGAATTGTGTTTAGGGTCCAGGTTTGGGGGCTTATCGTAACAAACACCCCGAGACCGCAAACACGCAACGTTAAACCCTTACTTTAAACCCACAGGCCTAAGCCCTAAATTGCGTACAAAGAACTGCCAAATACCTAGTGGGTCGTTCTGGGGAAAACTTTGCTTCGCTTAGGTTGCCAGGTGCAAGGTTTAGCGGTGTTTTGCGGGGTCTAGACTTGCGGGTTTAAGGCTTAAGGGGGGTGAGGTTTAAGGCTTTAATTGCTTAGCGTCAGGACTTAGGCTGAGGGTGTAAGGCCTTGGGTGTCGTACTTGCGAAAGGCCTAGGTAAGGTCTGCAATACTGTGGATGATTCGCTTACCGCTTGTTTTTTCATGCCGACATGCTAGAATCAGGACATACCAGTACCGCGGCTGTTGAGCTATTTTCAAACCCATATTTTGCCTTCGTCGCTCGATGCTTAACATGCTTGAGTCGACTCTGGGTGTAGGGTTTAGGGTTTAGGGTGTAGGGTTTAGGGTTTAGGGGTCGCCCACACAACCCGAAACCGCAACTTGAAGGCTTTCACGATAACAACCCCGGTGTGGGGGGCTACTGACTGGCTCTTCGTAGGGAATGGGGGAATGGGTTCTTGGGGCTACTATAGGCGACCTGAATTAAGGGACTATCATCCCCCCATTTTTATGCTAAGAACCCAGGGAGGCTCAGTTGGTCCTGCGTTCACCTCCGTCAGACGCCAAGGATCTCAACGGTCCCCAAGCTCATTCTCTGAAGCTAAGGCTTGTTCCTGAAAAAAACTGACTAAAAAAACAACCTGATTAAGAAACCCTGCGTCTTTATTCGGGTTCTTCATATGAACCCTAATATATTTGGGGTTACAGGGCCAGGGTCTCTTAATCAGGTTCCCACATTAACCTTAAAATCCCAAACGGTCCTTAGCCCAAATGCTATAGTGCGTAGGCAGAGCGGCTGGGCCCAGAATTCGTGGCGCCGCGTCGTCGGACTCTCCCGCGATTCCGAAGTTGCGCAGCAGGGTGACAACCTGGAGCTGCGGCCGAACAATGGTTTAGGGTTTACGGTACTGTTGTCACGGGGTGTTGCGGTTTGGGGTCAAGGGGTTTGCAGAATTGAAGCGGTTTAGGGGGTTCAGGGTGCAAAAGGGTTTCGACTCTCACACTCGCACCAGGCAGGCAAGGCTCCGTGTGCGAATTTCGACACTCAAAGCACTCCGCCCCCGGTTTGTTGTATTTTACGTATGATGCTAAGAACGAAACATAAACCAAAATATTCAGACCGCTTCGAATCGGACCCTAAACCTCAACCCGTACACCCAGCACACTAAATCCTGGGCCTCGTGGTCGATGAGGTAAATGCCCTTGGACGCTGCTAGCTCCTTGAGCCGCTCGGGCTCAATGCCTGCTACACTAAGACAGGGTTTGCGGTATGTGGTCATGTATGTATGTATGTATGTATGCATGCATGGTAAGGAAGGAAGGAAGGAAGGAAGGAAGGAAGGAAGGAAGGAAGGAAGGAAGGTAGGTAGGTAGGTA